ATCAGCAGGCAGGCGCCTAATAAGAGTGTTGCGGTGAATCTGCGAAGGGAAAGGGAATGGTAAAGATTGGTCATTATAGGATGGTTTTAAAAAGTGTATGGTATAGTTTTTTAATGAAATGGTAGTGGGGCGGATCAATTCAATATAAGTAAGCAGATTCTTATCGCAGCCTTCTGACCCATCACTCCGGCCCTTGGACCAGGAAAAGGAGAAACCCGGATACCGCAGCCATGATGAGGACAACAGCCCAGGTCCAATAGCGGTATTTGTCAATTTCTGCACGATATTCCGCTGTGCCGGTTTTATATTTATACCGGGCTTTTTTACGGCCATACTTTGTATAATTATAGTATGAAGGCATAGCAGGCTTTTAGCAATTGAGGTTTATATTATTGCAAACAGGTCTTCTTAAAAGGAACAGCTCAAAAGTAATACGCCGTGATTATCCTGAAATACCTACCAATAGGGATATTCAGGTGACAGGGTTGTTAGCCGTCTTTTTTTGCGATAGTATCAGAAAGTAACAGGCCGCGAAATACCCAACCACGATCTTTTTATCGGCCATATCACACCAGAGCACACCCTGTTTTTTCGGTAACGTTTGCGCAAATATTTTAATCCGCACCTCCCGATTTACCCCCTCAAAAATGTAGTATTACACCCGTTAAGTAAAAAAGAAAGTAACTACTTACTACTATCCTTTAGCATGAAACGAATATTGTCCGGCATTCTTGGCGTTTTTTCTTTCTTCCTCATAATCAATAAGGTGCAGGCAGAGGAATATCCGGCCGAGCTTACCGTTGCCGCCGATGGTTCGGGAAACTATAAAGGCATCAATGAAGCGCTGCATATGTTCCGGGCCTATTCGCCCGTGCCATTGAAGCTGCATATCAAAAATGGTATCTATAAAGAGAAGGTAGTGATCCCGCACTGGCTCACCAACCTCACCATCGATGGCGAAGACCGCGACAAGACCATTATCACCAACGACGATTATTCGGGAAAGTTATTGCCCGGCGGCAGGGATGAAAAGACAGGCAAAGACAAGTTCGGCACCTTTAATTCTTATACGCTGCTCATAC